AATTGACAATCCTAAAGCAAGTAATGAACGAGCTTCTTCCTCAAAAAAATCAAAATGCTTTTGAATATGGCCAACACTGGCATGTTCTAAATAATAAGCACTCATTTCCTTCCTGAAAGTACACGATTCAATAGAATAATTATTCACATTGACATAAATGGTAAAGCAAAAGCATTTCCAGCCATTAGGATGCATATATTGATAACTCAATGGGAATAATAAATTAAAGAGGATAATCCAAGTCTGGGTCTCTTGGGAGAATCAATGGGCATCAAACTATGAACCTTCAGAACAACTCTTCGAGCTAAAAGAGGGAGGGAAAAAAAGGTGAAGATTACTCATTTTCCATGAAAAGTAACATAAGTATACGCTCAAGGCACCAATAGCATGAAACTATACAAATTGGAAAACATACATCCACATAAAAAAAGCCACCATTAAAATAGATCATATAATCGGGCTCTCCCAATTGTCCTCGACAAACCGTATATCATGTTCACTAACATCAATACTTGATACAAACATAACATGAAAAGGTTAGAAAATCTTATCACTAACACCAAGATATAAAAATTACAAAAAGAGAATTTAAGAAAACCAAAGAAAAAGCAAGCAAGTCTTATATTATTCGAGCTTTCATTGTTCACAAGCATTATTATATATAGTGTTCATATTGTTCATTTTTATCTCTTCCTTGGCTGATCTTAAACTTTGCAAACAACCAAACACTCTTCTTCTACTAGGGGAATTATTTCTTTGCAAACATATTTTCATCGAAATAAATTGTATGGATGAGATTAACACAAACTACAACAAAGATAGCATTAGACAATTATAGCAATGACTGAATATATAAACACAATTCTGCCATAAACAAAAGCTATTAGCATACAGGCAGTGATGATAATCATTATTGGAGACAGCAAGACAATCATTATTGAAAAGAAAAGGGAAAAGCCAACAAAATTCATAAGAAACAGATGATTTGAAGCGAGAACATAATCCAGAGCAAGGTTTTCTTCTCTTATAATTTACTAACAACGACAAAGAGAGTAAAAACTTAACAGAACAAACTCACCATATTGTTTTTGGTTCAAGTGCCCAAATTCAAACTCTGTGTTTGGTTCAATAATTCGAGGTATCAGTCCATACCTGGAAAGCGTCTTCTTAATCTGCAGCTATGGTTTGAAGTACCTGGAAGCCATAAATGCTGAAGACCCTTCTAATACCCATCTTAATCTGCATGTATCAGTCCTTGCATACAGTAGTGATAGGTGAAGGCACAATTTCATTTGAAGTTCAAATTCGAAGGAAGGAGATGCATTTGCAAGATGAAGCCCCCGTATGATCTCGTAAAATACCCCCAATACGAAAGCAATTACTTTGTAAACCTAATTCACTAAAATAAAGCATAAAACTTTCATTTTTTAGAGAACCCAAAGTCTAAAACCTATTTGAAATTGCGTGAAATGTACAACTAATATGATACCTGGAAATTTGAAAATTTAAAAGGATTCAATTAAAAAGAAAGAAAATGAGAAGAGAGGAACCTGAGAAGATTACAGCAAGTGAGGGAATTAGATGACCAAATAGGGGCTGAAGGGTGAAGTGAAGGAATATCACCACCAAGCATTGTACGTAATGTCGTCTAACATAACATAATCATCAAATATCCATGCATTGGGGTTTTTCGAGGAAGAAGAGGGAAGATAAGGAAAAAGAAGTTCAAAAGAATTAGGGATCGACAAGGAGAAAGTGGGGAAATATAATTATCATTTCGCGCGTTTGCATGAAAAAACGCCACTAATGTACGTGATTTTGTGGCGTTTTTATAACAAACGCCATTATTGTAAACTCTATAGTGGCGTTTTTCCAAAAACAACAGTAATGTATGCGTTTATAGCGACGTTTTTAATAAAACGACAGCACAGTACGAAATTTTAGCGGTGTTTTTACAAAATTGCCACTATATATCTGGCTATCACGGCGTTTTTTTACATAAACGCCACTAAACAACGCTGCTAAAAACCATATTTTTGTTACTAATTGCGGCGTTTGTTTGATAAACGCCGCTAAATTACTTCTATATAGCGTCGTTTATTGGATAAATACCACTGTAAGCAACCCTATTATGGCGTTTGTATAAAAATGCCGCTAAATTACTACTCTATTGCGGCATTTGTTGAAAAAATGCCACTATAAACAACTATATTCCGGCGTTTGAGCTATAAACGCCGCTAAATTACCACTCTATTGCGGCGTTTGTTGAAAAAATGCCGTTAAAGTAGTATTTTTGGCGTTTCGATTGTAAACGCCGCTACATGCTTAAATTTTGTGGCGTTTACCCTAAAAACGCCGCTAAAAATACCGCTACAGAACACTTTTGCTGTAGTGATTATTTTAGTTAAAAGATTTGAATTTAGATATTTGTATCTACAAAGTATATGTATATTGTTAATAATTAAAAATAAACTCTAAACAAATACTACACTGTAATCAAAAAACTTTCACGAGAGAGAATGCGCTAAGTTTTTCTCCGACGAGGCGGTGGCCACCCCTTTCACGAAGCGGTAGCCATCTCCACCATCGTCCCTACTGTTTTTGCTTTCCTTCGACCGCTTCTCTCAAGTTCTCAAAAGTCCAATGCTATGACGTTGAATCCTTTTTCATGTTCTTTGAACAAGGGATTGGTCGGCCTGCTCTGGTGTTTTTGGATTTAGGGTTCATTGGCTTTCATCCCCATTTCTGCTTCTTGATTGATTGGGTGTTCTCTTCTAGTTTTGGTGAGATCGTTTCTTTCTCTACCAGTTGTGATTCCATTCCTGCTTCTAATCGTTTGTTGTTCCGTGCTTGAGTTTGGGTTTACTCTCGATATTAGTTTCATAGTTTTTTTTAGATAGTGTGTGGTTTCAAGTCAGCCTTTGGAGTCAGATTGAGATAGTTTGTTCTGCTCGCTAGATGTTTGTTTTAAAGCCTTAGTGAACTAGTCTTTTGCTTGTTTGAAAATACAGTATGAGGGTCAGTGTTTCAGGGCTTCCTTTGGAACTGCTTTTCGTTTTTTGGATATCTTACCATTCTTTTTCATTGGAAATGTTATGGCAGATTGTGGGTCGCTATGTGAGATTATGTGTGTATACTTTCCAAAGATAAGGAGTCGAGTAGTTTCGAGGTTTGATTTCGTTAATGATGTTGATTCTGATAGTGGTGTTCTCAAGGTTTTAGCATCATCATTTTTGGTTGAGTTTGGCTATTTTCTTGCTCATTGGTGTTGCTTTTAAATGTTGTCATTTGTCCGATCTTGTGTTTGTGTAATGCTTTGTTGTCTCTTCGATTTGATTTATGTGTGATCCTCCGTAGTTTGGGGAGCTGGGTGATATATGCTTCTTGCTCTTGTGGATGGGTATTGTAAAGGGGATGCAGAGTTTGTACTGTTGTTTCCATAATGGATTGGGTGTGATGTGATTTTATTGTTTTACGTTTTGCAAGAGTTGTATTTGATCAGCTGGGAAGGAGTCAACATTTTTGGTTCTTTGGTTATCTGTTTATGTCCTGCTCGAGATTTGGATCAGCTGGGAGACAGTGGGGATCGTTTCCTCAGCTTTGACAGGCGGTGTTTCAATAATCAAGTGATTGAGTTCTCAGGTATGCATTGTCTTGGGTATTAGGAGGTTGTCAGAGATGGTGCTCAGACATGCAGGTTCCCATTCCCGCGTGCTGTTCTTTTTGTAGGATTTAAGGAGTTTGTCGGGTGTATGCAAGTCCTATTCGAGCTCCAAGGCTATTTTATTGGATTAGGGTCAGCTAGTGAGTTTATTTTTCTTAGTGTGTTGCCCTTGGTCAAGTTATGGGTGATTATGCAGTTTCAATTTGTTGTGTAGTTTCATTCCTCGGGAATCATTGTCTGTGTATGTTTCTCAGTGTGTTCTTTATTCTTATTGTCAGATTGTCAGTGGTGGTTGTATTTTGTGTTGGATTGGGGCTTGTGGTAGGGTGGAGGTACGGCCTGAATGTTGTAATAGTTTTATGTGCTTTAATTCTTACCATCTCAAGGTACACTTTTTTTCCTCCATTTAGGATTAGGGAGGTTTTTTAATGAGGTCCTTGAGGTGGTGTACTTTGTTTTTATATAATACAAAGTACCCTCTTTAAAAAAAATACTACACTGTAATCACTATAACCTATTTAAAAAATTGAGAAGATCATACCATAAATTATACATTTATGTCTTCATTAACAAATACTCTTATAATATCATAATTTATTCAAACAAATTGTGATGTTCATGTCATAAATTATACTTTAAGTCAACCAACAACCAGTTGGTCTAGTAGGATGAGACACTAGATCCCTTAAGCAATATTAGGGGTTTGAATTCTGACAATTGTGAATGAAATAAACTGGGTTGGGAGAGTCACTTTTGACTCTGCAGCACCCGATCCAGATTAATCAATCAATAGATTGTATATCGGTGGTTATACAAAAAAATATTATACTTTAATCTCCATTAATTTTAAAACTAAATTTTAATTCTTTTAAATTTTATTATTAATTATATTTTAAATTTTTATTAATTTTAAAATCAAAATTAAACTATTCCTTCAACTTTTATTGTTATATCATACTTCAAATCACTTCAAAACTTTCTGATTTTATTATTTTTTAAATTCATATTAATTTTAATTACAATTCATACCTTTCATCAAAAAGAAATATGAAAACATCAAATACAACTAAACATCAAATACATTTAAATTAAAATATAAAATAGTAAAATCTTCTTGTTTGTCTGCTAATCTGTATTAAAAGTCTGCCTTTTGAATGGATAATTCATCCATTTCTTTATACAATAACTCTATATATAACCCTACGTTTTCCAGCCATTTAAACCCAAAATCTTACCATCTCTCTCTCTCTCTCATCGTCCTCGAAGTACTTGTTGCTGGTAATCCAAAACATATATCTCAATGTTTGTTTCAACGTTCGCTTTCGAGAATTCGACTATGACGATCCACAAGTTAGGCAAGTACTTCTTTTCTCTGCTCTCCATCGTTTCGGCTCTGGCATGGGCGTGGAATTTCTTGCTCCGTTTCTCTTTGTTCCCTTATCAAATACCTTCCGCCGTTGCCGGCGGTGATTTCAAGCTCGGAAGCCGTAACTTCAACTGCAAGCGTGGCTCGGGATATGACGATGATGAAGTTGTCGAATGCGCTATTTGTTTATGCAAGATCGATGAAGACGACGAGATTCGAGAGCTGAGATGCGACCATCTTTTCCATAAAGTTTGCTTGGATAGATGGGTCGGGTACCGGCGTTCCACCTGCCCGATTTGTCGAACTTCTTTAACTCCTCGTCAACTAGTTTCCGGCATGGAAGTCATTCTTTTCAAGTATTGTTCTTTTGATGATTCCAGCCACCGGGAAACATGGTGGCTGCGGTAGATTTAAATACCGCCGTAAATTCACGACGTTAAGAAATAATTAATCGAAGAAAGTTCGAATTTTAAGTTCGTCATGTCTACCTTTGAGAAACTGTGGATCCATTGGCTGAAACTATCCGTTGTGTTAATTCTTCTTCTTCTATTAGCTAGTTAAGACGTTAAGAAATAGGCACCTTGCAGCAAATGATGATATCGTGTTATCGGTATGAATGACGATCGCTGTCTCTGCAAATTTAATTTTTTTATATAATTTAAATATTCTTTTATTTTTTATTAATAATAGTTTTTATTCCTTATTTCTACACCAATTTTGAACTACATGCATCACTTTTAGAAGTCTCAATCAAGTAAGAGTGAGAATGATAATGGGTAGTAGAAATTTAAATATTTACAAATATCTGAATCCATATACTTTTACTTACTAGATTTGAATATTTAATGAATTGAGATATAAAATATAATATTATATAAGCAGTAATTAGATTATTTAGATTTAATCTGAAATATAAACAAATTTAGTTTTTAAAAATATTATGTAGATTTTGATTTCGATATCAATTGTTAAAATATCATTTCATGAATCAAAAAAATTAACTCTTGAGTCGAAAATTGCATTAACGTAAATATAGTATGTTAAATATGATTTTATATGGAAGTGCAATTCTTTAAATTTAGCAAGCAGAATTGGTTAGATTGATATTATCCACCGATATATGATAATGGCATTTTTTATATTTTTTACAATAATTGATGAAAGAAATGAAAAATACATGGAAATATATTAATATAAATTCGAAGTGAATACAAGGTACGTAGTATCTATTTAAAGACTCTCAACTCTTTAACAATGAACATTCATATCCCATGACATACGACTTACTCGAACCTAAAACTTCAAAAAATAATAGCAATATCTTAATCACAAAAATTGTTTGGTTCGTAAAAAATAAGTATATATTTAATTTGGATTTAGCTAAATTTTATATTATTCATATGACTAATGATAATAAATTTAAAACCGATATTGTTCATATAACTTCCAATTTTGTAGCATGTGATTCATGTGTCTTGTGATGATTGGTTTTATTTATTTTTCTATATATAGATATGGCATATTTGATTAAGATTTAGCCTAATGTTGACAAGTTTTAGGATGTGCAATTAATAACTATATGGTTTATTAACTTTGAAAAATCATTTATCTAATGTAATTAAGGGTGAATTTTTTTTAACGATGATGTGATATTATCTTATGGTGACATGTCAACATCAATGTTAATTTTTTAATGATGTACGATTAAAAGGAAACCTACAATGTCAGATATGATTTGAAAAAATAATAGTCGAGTGACCAAAATAAAATTAAAGTGATAGTTGAGTGATTAAATAAATACATAGTTTATCCTTTTATTTAATTTAAGATGTTATGTGAATGTGAGTGAGTAGTTTATTTTTTTTAAATAATTGGTATTTCTTTTAAAATTTTGGGTTGATATTTAAAAAAAAGGATAAACCTAGAAATAAATAAATAAATATTTTTTATAGAAAAAAACACTTTCAATTAAAATAATTATTCTTACATCATTTTATATATAGATTTTATGAGTTTATATATTTTTATACTTTTATCAAATAATTTCGTATCACTCGACTTGTGAACATTAAGAGTCAATTGTTCATTACTTTTCAAACCAATTTTTGGAGTTTTGGTGCCAAAATCAACTTGAGACAATTTTAAGAAAATAAAATTTGGAGTAAAAGATGCTTTTCAATTATATATATAAGTTGGGTCAAGCTTAAGCAAAAAATAATTATCATAAAGTTGATTTTATGTAATGGTTCATTGAATTGGTAAATTTTATTCACACAAATACGTATTTATGGTGAAGACATACATACGTAATAGTGTGTAAAAATTATCATAAAATTGATCTTATGTAATGGTTCATTGAATTGGTAAATTTTATTCATACAAATACGTATTTATGGTGAAGACATACATACATACATACGTAATAGTGTGTAAAAATTATCATAAAATTGATCTTATGTAAGGGTTCATTGAATTGGGCCTAATTTATTTGTTTTTACAATTACGGTCTGAATGTCTAACCCTGTAAATGAATATAATTCGATGAAAGGAGGAGACAAGAGACTTTGCATGTGTAATATTCAGCGTTTGTAGTCAATATGTTTCAGCAAAAACCACTTGTTTAAAGGAACCATTAACGACTCGGCCCAGTAGATTTATGGTTTAACCCTAAATTCTCACCCCACGTGCTGACATCCCTTCCATTTTTGTTTCATCTCTCAAATTCAACACTGATGGCTCATCTAATACTTTAAAACAAAAGCCTGGTCAAGCTCCAAGTCTAACTGGTTCCATAATTCTTTTCATTTTTCTCACGTGGGTATTGAAGAAAACAGTACAGTTGATTATATATATATAGATATGTAAATGAATCGAACGTTCAACGAACCGTTCGTGACCCGTTCAGCGGAGAATTCGTTTATGTTTGTTTATTAGTTAAACGAGTGAACATGAACAAAATTTATAATCGTTTAATTAGATGAAAGAGCGTGAACAATGGACTTGTTCGTTCATTTACGTTCGTAAACGTTTGGTAATTATTTTGTTTATGTTCATTTTGTTTATGTATATGGCTTTACATGGTAATATCTGTATTGATCCAAGAGTATTTCGTATTAACATATCATTATTTTTCTTATATATATATAATATAGGGTAAAGTATACAAATAGTTAACTGATTATAGGGTGTTGTTTTGTTGAGTCATTCAACAATTAAAAGTTACAAAATAATTCCTTTACTATAGGACACTAATTTGTTGAGTCCTCGACTATTGAAAGTTATAAAATTGTCACTTGACTATTCATATTTTCCAAATTTGTCATTTTCTATTAAAAATTGACGAACGTATGAGTTGAATGTTAACTTGCTGAATGAAATATGATAAAATTATATTTTAATGATGCCTATTGACACCGTCATTGCTTTCAAACACTGGCTCACACAAAAATAAACGGAGGGTCGATCAACAAAATACAGCTCAAATTGTTCTAGGACCAAATTTTGTCATATCTCAGTCAATAAGTTAGTATCCAGCTCAGACGAAAGATGAGTTTGAAACATATTAATAGTTGAATGATCATTTTGTTATTTTTAATAGTCAAGGGACTATTTTGTATTTTTAATAATTGGGGACTCAAAAAACTATATTCGATAATCGGAGGACTATTTGTGTACTTCACCCATATAAATAAGTGTATATTGACTATTCTACAAACTTTCTATTTGACTGGAAAACATTCATAATTCTATTTTTACTTAAACCGTATCCTAATTGAACAAAGTGGTAATTTATTAAACTTCATAAAATTGAAAAGCTACATTAATTGGGCTTGAAGTCAGCAACCCAATCTCTATCTAATAAAATAACTACCCAAACAGAATCTGTGCTTGCCTAACTAACTAAAACCCCAACAATTGGGCTTCAAAATTTACTAGATTTACTTTGACCCAAACAATCGAACACGAAATCTTTAAAAATAATAATAGTTTTTTTATTAATTGAGGTCATTTAGTTTGTGCGTACCTGAATTTCGAGTATTTCATACATCTATATCAAAATACTTTTACATTGCAATTTCTAATTTTTTTATAATTATTTGATATTTATATTTTATAATTTTATTTAGTTTTTATTTTCAATATTTTTAAATGAAGATTAAATAAATATTTAGACCTTTATAAAATCCAATTATATCCTCGTATTCAACCAAAAAAAATCAATGAAACCTCTTTCACATTTTTTTGAATAGAAGCTGCTAGTTTTATTAAAAGAATTACAATGAATGCTTACAACTATAATCATAAATCAAACATATAATTAGAATATTTTCATATAACCATTAACACAAGAAACTAGCCCTTTGAGATCATACAATACCGTATAAGGAGAAGGTTAAAAATTAAACCCAAATACTTAAAATAAAGATAAATACGAATATATATGATTGTATCGGTAAACGTATCATAAAAGGGGATGAGAACTACTGAAAGACCACTGACAAACTGCATATAAAAGTCGAGCGACATGAGAACACTATCTACGAACACAATTACGCATCCCAATTCAATCCGAGAGTCTAAAGCAAAGAAGATCACCAGGATAACAAATAAACATTATCTTAATTAGTCGATGTGTCCTCAAATCCAAACATGAGAAAAAGATAAAACAAAAAAGAACGGCCAAACAATCAAAAATATATTAAAAGATAGAAAAAAGTGTCATAAAGACATAGAAAAGTGTACTATAAAGACAAAATTATTAAAAACTAAAACTCAAAAGGGAAGTAAAAATGAGATATAAAAAAATAAACGAAAAATAAGAAATATCGACAGTCGACAACCAACACTAAAATTAGTACCATGGTCGACTAAGCAAATATAAAGAAAAGAGTGACCTTTCACATTATTATTTATAGGAAAATTCTACAATGCTCGACAAGCATTGATGAACACCACTAACATGAGCACCCTTAATTTAATTTATGAAAATTTAAAATTCTAAAGGGTAAACTTATAAATTGGTTAAAAATTTAAAGGTAAATTATTTAAAATAAAAGGTAAACTATATGAGAGATCACCTAACTATTGCCCCTTTTCATTTTGACCACAAGTTTTTAAATTTTGTCAATCAGGTCACTCAACTATTTAAATGCATTCAGTTAAGCCACTTGATGTTAATATTTAACGGAGAAACTAATGTGGCAGTTAAAATATTTGGTCGTTGTTACTTATATATTCTATCAATTTGATCATACTTTAATAAATATAAACTTAACCCTCAAATCAAATAGTGCCATGGGTCACTGCTGTCAAGTGTAATTACTTATATATTCTATCAATTAGGTCATACTTTAATAAATATAAACTTAACCCTCAAATCAAATAGTGTCATGTGTCACTACTGTCAAGTGTAATGACATGTGTCACCATTTGATTGGATGATTAAATTTATTTTAATATATTTTTAATTTAATATATTTTCTCACCAATCAAAGGGTGAGAACTCTAGAGGAAAGAAAATTTTGGAAGCTTAAATGATACCAAGGGAATCAAACATGGGGTTCTTGGGTTGAAGAAGTTAGGCTCAATCATTAAGCCAAAGTAGTTAATTGGTTCAATTTTTATTCTTATCTTAACTTAAAAATAAATTTTTATTTTAACTACAAAAATATATTTTATTTTTATCTTTACTCCAAAAAAATATATTATATTTTAACTGTAAAAACACATGTTATTACACTTGGCACTATTTGATTTGAGTGTTAAGTTTATTTTAATTTATTAATATTAGAACCAAATTGATAGAATATATAAGTAACAATAACCAAATGTATAATTATACCAAATATTTTAACTGTTACATAAGTTTCTCCGTTAAATATTAACGGCAAGTGGCTTAATTGAATGCATTTAAATAGTTGAGTAACCTGATTGACGAAATTTAAAAAAATGATGGTCAAAATGAAAAAGGACAATAGTTAGATTATCACTGGTATAATTTAACCTTTATTTTAAATAATTTACCTTTAAATTTTTAACTAATTTATAATTATATATCGATTTATTTAGAATTTAAAATTTTTATAAATTAAATTAATGATATTCATCGTTAGTGGTGTTTGTCGAACGTGGTAGACTCATCTTTATTTATATATGAATTATTACTTCAATATTGTGAATCAATATTATAATAATCAACCACAATTTTTATCGTTCAAAAGATAACACTAATACAATTTGTGAAATTCAAGACTAAATTAATATAATAAACTAAAAGAGAAAATACTACTTATTTGAGACAATTACAAAAATAAAATTATCCCTTAGACCTTGTATACATTAGTTGTTTCATCTCAATAACTAGTTTATGATAATTTGTATCCTAGTATTACGAGTGCTTGAATAATGAAATTTATTTATTTACTTTTTATCAGCAAAATTATCTTTAATTTTATATGTATAAGTAAATTTTAGGGTAACTACTTATTTGGTCATCCACCTATTACTTAGTTTTAGTATTAGTTATTTTTTTTCAAAATCATACCTAATGTTACGTTTTGATTTTATTTTGATTACTCATCGTTAAAATATTAATGGTGATGCTGACATGTCCATATAAGATAATGTCGCGTCAGTATCACCATTAATTTTTTAACTACAAATGACTAAAACAGAATAAAAATAAAACGTTAAGTATGACTTTAAAATATAATAATCAGATGATGAAAACAAAAATTCAAAAAAAAAAAAATATACGTCACCAAATAAATAGTTTAACCTAAATTTTAACATCCAGCCGACGGTAATGATGATGGAGCTCGCAAATAATATCTGAGTCCTTGGTCATATATTTATATATATCGTGAATCTCAACCTTTAAGCCAATCTAGTCGGGAAATTGTTCTAAAAGTGGCTATATTTAATGTTCGAACGCAATGAAACAATAACTCTACTAATTCCTTGACCACCCAGGAATCTGCATCATCAAGCTGCACACTGGTATGGTCCCATCCCTTTACTCCTTTTGTTATCCGAGTTATCGCTTTTGACTCATAACACTTATTTCATTTGAAACTGAATTAATTCAATTTTAAAACAATTTAACTTAAAAAATAAAGGTAAAGTTGGTCGTTCGATTATAACGTACTGATTTGTTAAATCTTTTGATTATTAAAAATTATAAAATGGTCATTTGACTATGAGACATTGTTTTGTTAAGTCCCGACTATTAAAAGTTATAAAATGGTCATCTGATCATTCATATGTTTCAAACTCATCCTTTTCCATTCAAAAAGTGATTGTTGTCTGAGCTGGACGTTAATCTATTGATTGAGTTGTGATAAAATTTGATTCCAGAATCTCAAATGACTATACAATTCAAACAAATTTTATCATATCCAAGTCAGCAGGTTAACGCCAAGTTTAGACTATCGTTAATATTTTAACGAAAAAAGAGGGGTGTGAAACATAAATAATCAGGTGGTCATTTTATAACTTTTAATAGTAGAGAGACTCAACAAAATAATGTCTTATAATCGAGGACCATTTCAAAGGACGATAGTAGGTTTTATTGGAAATGTTAGGGAAAATATAGGAATTAGATAATTAATTAGGCAAACCAGAGTTGGTTTTATTGGAAGGAAATATAGGGATTGGTATTGGGGGCTAAACATTAAAAGCTCAAACGATGGTAGGTCGAAAGACATTAAAGGCCATGATGAAATTAAATTCCCATTTATTATGGTTAGGTATATTAATGAATTGGTCTAGTAAATAGCCTTTAATTAGCTTTCATGCAGCAACCATAATAAAGCTCATTGTTTGACAAAGTTTAGGTGAATGCAGTTTTCAAACATTTATATGACACAACCATATTTTATTTTAATTTCTTGGTACGTCACTATCCCTTTTTTTTATTTATCATATGCCTGCATTAACTTGAGTGTTGCCTTAATTAAAAATCCATTGGATCCATTTAATTGTTGAGCACTCAAAGTCATGAATTTGATATTAATGTAGTATTATTTTTCCCAATATGTTTAGCTTGTTTCCCTTTCACTTGGATCAGAATCCTTAAATGAATGGCCATGAAATTTAATACAATTATTATAAATAAAATAGTAATCTGAGCAAAATTTTCCTTCCCCTCTCCCAAAGTAGAAATAATTTAAAAATAATAAAAATATACAATATAAAATAAATAAGGATTAAATTCTAATACATCTACCTTATTTACAAAATTATAGTAAATGCATTGAATATCAAAGCTAGAATAACTTGAAATTTTCCCCTCAAATTGATATATTGAGATCAATGCGAGGCTTCTTAGAAAACGGCAATTGAACAAGGGTGTTGCACCTAGGACATCTAGGCTTATGCTTCACTATCATGACATACGATAAGCATCCGGGGCAACCGGCCACAACCGGCGAGGCAAGCAACCTCTCTTGATCCCCACCGGCATCTCGTGAACCTTTGATCGGAGACGAAGAATACAAAGGCGACAACAAGGATGGCTTCCACGATGACGAGGAAGATGGTGATCGCTTTTTGATCGGCTGTTTCTCTACCCTTTCGAGCGCGAATTTTACTTTGTCGAGTGTGCACACGCTCTGATAAGTGGTGGAGGAGGATGAGACTAGTTTCAGTTCTAGGTTAGTCTCGTCGAAAAGGTTTATAAAAGGTTTAGAAGGTGGGAAGTTCAAATCTTGAAGCTTTGGCACTGTTTGATTGATTTGGTGGTTGGTTCCATCTGTTGATTGTGAAGAATTTGATGAATTGCAGCTTTGCAAGTACACCTTACCAGACTGCAACCATTGATAAAAAATAAACTAATGAATCATACTTTATAGAGCAAAAATGAATAAAAAAAACTAAAGGAGAAAACAAGGAAAATAATTCATTTATTCATAGATGAGAATTATCAACATACCTTCAAGTCTAGGCGCTTTTCCCATCCGTTAGGGACTTGAACATCAAGGTTAAGTTCTTCTAATTGATCATTTTTCATAATGATCAAGTCGGAGCCACCGCCTGTACCACCATCACCGGCGCCACCATCGCGGCCTCCGACTCCAAGCAAATCCCTAGTGATCAAAGCCGTTGGTTTTGCTCCACCGGATTCATTCCCCGCCATTCGATCATCCTTGTACCGGCTTAAAACTCTATGTAAATAGCTAACATCGGCAGCCATAGCCAGAGAGGTTTCTTTACAAAGAGGAAGTGAGTGTCGAAATGGTTTTTTTTTCTCCCTCTCTTTTTCTTTTCCCTTTTTTATATAACAAACACTATAGAGATGTATGAGCCATTTATAAGTGTTGAAAGCAAATATTACACTTACTTTGTAAATATCAAAACCGGAAAAAAAATGAAAGCTCATAACTAGAGTTATTAATGAAAAATTAATTAAATTTCAATTCAACAAGAAATAAATTAACCCATTGATTACTTTTTTCATAATTAATTGTGTAATTTATTGTTTTGCATATTTATTTATGGTAAGAGGAAGAGTGAGAAATGGATAGGAATTCGAAAAAATAGGGTAAAGTACAAAATTGATCACATTTGTTTTGGTTTTATAATTTTTTTTATTGAATTAAAAAACATAGTAGTTTGTCACCTTCATTTCGTTTTAATTAAGATATGATCACTGAAGGTTAACGACCGTTAATCCTTTAATGGTTTGCTAACGTGATACGATAAATATATAAAATTAAAGTTACATCATTTCCACATAGATAAAACATGAATTAAGTATTGGTTACTTTCCTTTCATATTTGTACACTTTTGCTCACCAAATTCAAAAAATATAAGTTTTGGTCACTTATGTTAATGTTTTAATAAGATTTAGTCAATTATGTTATCGTTTTATTAAGTTTTGGTCACTTAGATGGTGAATGGCGTTAGTTTGATGATTGTTAGTAAAATGGTTTAATTTTTATTTTAATCCTTACACTTTAGACAAAATAATGATTATGAGTCTTTTTTAAATTCAAATTAGTTTAGGGACAACATTTCAATTTATATATTTTAATAGGTTTTCTTCTCAACCTCATTGTTGTTCATATTCTCCCTGCTTCTTCTTCACACATTTTTGCTCAATTGCTCTATTTTCCTTCTTTCAATGACTCACGTTGCATTTCAAGAATAATGCAAGCTTTTCAACTTCTGATAACAAATAATAATACTATAAGTTCAGAGAAAAATGAGAGGGTACACATCTAGAGATAAAATGAAGCTGGGTAATCTTAATTATACAAACTAAAATTTAATTTCCAAATATTGAGATTGCATAATGCCAAATCCAACAAGGAACAAGAAGACAAATCAATGAATCCAAATAACCCAATAACCATATATCACTCTTCGTAGTGATTTTCCCTTGAAAAAACGCATATGGTGAAACATAATCAATGGATCCAAACACCCCAATAACTAGATCTATTAATTCACCCACTGGACTCAATACAAAATCCATTATCTTCAACGCCGAATCTTTGTTATTGCTCAAGAACAAGCAATTTTTTATTCTAGATCCCTATATAAAGTGTTCGACTTATAAATCACTGTTAACCCTTGCGGCTTAGATCTGTTGCCCTACCGCTATCGCGTCGACCCCCGAGTACCTCATTTTCGCAATGAACCAATCGAACAACTTACCATTAGAGCGAAGCTCCAATACTAAGTGAACATCAATTTAATCTTCCTAAATGTCATGGAGGTTGATGACTTTCAAATACGATGAAACGTTATGGAAGACCTTTCGTGTCACGGGGATTTCGTTGGTTAACAACATGTAGAGATGGAAACCTAGTATTGTGTCGTCAATAACGCCGCCATTGAAGAAGCTCTGCTTTTTTGGCTCGAGGCAGTGGTGTCATCGTGGTAGTTAATCTTTCAGAGTTTTAATGGCGAATTCTTTGCATTTTTCACTATATTCATTACTTTTTTTATACTTTTTCTTACAACCCTAAAACAAAACCTAATATTATCCCTAAACTAATTTGAATTTACAAAAATACCCATAATCAGTATTTTTTCTAAATTTTAGGGGTTACAATAAAAATTAAACTATTTTACTAACAGGTCACATCATCAAGCTAACGACATTCAACGTTCATTTGACCAAAACTTAATACAACAATAACGTAAGTGACAAAAATTTATGATTTTTGAATTTGGGGAGGAAAAGTGTACAAATATGAAAGGAATGTGACCAAAACTTAATCCACATATTATTTACGTGGAAATAATGTAATTTTAATTTTATATATTTACGGAACACTTCAACAAATCGTTAAAGGTTTAGCGGTCGTTAACTTCCAGTGACCACATCTTAATCAAAATAAAAAGAAAATGACCAAATATTATATATATATATATATTGAATTCAGTGAATAAAATTTTATAAAACCGAAGGCGACATTTACCCAACAAAATGGGAAAGCACGCACGTAAATAGTCACATTAATTGCTTCGGGATACAAGAAGACATCGATTAGAAGTAAACTTATACATGTGTGAGTTTGTTCACTTCTTGTAGGAGGTTGTTGACTATGGTTTTTAAAATTCAGATTAAATTTTGATCCATTTGTTTATTTAATAGAAAATATTATGTAGATACTAATTTTTATTTAACTTTTAAAAGCTCATAAATTTAACAATTGATTGGTCTAGTGGGATGAGGTATTAGACTCCTTAAGTAAAATCAGGTGTTCGAATTCTGATGTTTGTGTATGGACCAAACTAGGTTGGGAAGGTTGCCCTTATAATGGACCTATGCAAAACCAGATCTAGATTAATCGGTCAATAGATCAGATACATGTGATTAATTCAAAAAACCTCATAAATTCAAGTCACTCTCTAAATACAAGATTTAGATTCAGTCTAATCCAAGTCAAACAACATAATTATTTCTCTCTTATCCTCTATGCACCTGTTCTGTCAAAATTCTTAAAAATCTGGTCATTGTATATAAACTCTACAAGGTCCTCAAAGTGAACACATAGACCCTAAACACACAAAATGACATATAACGAACGAAATATTACACACTGAAAACCATTCACAACCACATGAGTGTTAGTAATGCTCAATCCCACATTGAGTAAATACATTAGAATTGGATATTTAAGGTTTACATTCTACACTCCCTTGTTGAGTGATAGAGAACAAGGGGGTTTCTCATGCACCATCGCCACCACCGTCTGTCCATATCATCTCGGCTCGTGCTCGTGCTTGTGCTCGTGTTTGTGCTCATGCTCATGGTCGAGGTCAAGTTGAGGTCGTGGCTCGTGACAATACGTGTCTTCAACACGTCCGCACGGATTCTATCTTTTTAGAGAAAATTTGTAAGGAATTTTCACAGAACAAAAGAAATGATTATGAAGGAACATTTCTTCTGATATTTATGGGGTGTATAAGAGGTTTGTTTGAATTCTATAATTTTATAAGGTAACAATTGATTAAATAACTGTATGAATTGATTTTTGAAATAATAATTCAAATGGTCAGTTTTTAATATTAAGCAGAGAAACGTTTTGGATGAAATTGGACTATTTCACAGCCTTGTTCAAGATAAGGAACAAGATGTTAATGGGTCCGGTTACAAGAGTTACATAAATTTATTTTTAGAGTTACAAATGGGTTGGATTTTACAAAATGAATCTGGACGTGTTGAGGGCAGGTTCATTGTGTTATTTCAGCAGTTTCATATGATAAATATCAGGAGTTACAAAGGTTTAAGTTTTTGGAATTAAATCAGAATTTTAATTCTAATTTTTCTTGGAAGTTTTTACCCTGGGCACATCCTATAAATAGAAAACTCATTTCACTCTCAACTCATTCACAATTCACTCTAATATTTCTCAACTCTCTCAAAGCTTTCTAAGCTTCTGAGTCTTTTTGACGATTAGAGGAGCAGTACCATCAACAATCCACTCCGGTTTTAGGTGTACAGAATTTGGAGCAACCGTGCTAACCTCAGGGGACGATACAACTATTGAAGCGGTTATACACATCGGGCAAATTCGTTTCTACGATTTTGGTTGATTCGAATTATTTATTTATTTATTTTCCAGTCAGTGCTAACGGTGTGATTTTACAGTCAATATTACCAACAATATAGAAACAATTCATATACTGCAAATATGGCATTGCCTTTAAGCAAGTTGATTCCCGATCTTTCCAAGCTCAAAGCACTCGATGGAGAGAATTACTGGAGGTGGTCCCAGCGGATACTAATATTCTTCAAGCAGCTTGACCTGGATTACATTTTGCTCAAGCCACCACCTACCATTCTACCGACCAACTCAGTTACCGGAGATAATACCAATGCATTCTAGTCTGATGTCGTCTTAGTCGTTGCTGCTACGACCTTTGCTACTACCGAGAAATACGAGAAGGACAATAAGAAAGTACTAGGACATCTTCTCAGTCACATATGGCTAAAAAATTTGGTATGTTTATTAGAGAAAGAAGTGACAAGGCGATCTAGGATACTCTAGAGAAGAAGTACGGTGCTGACGATGCTAGCATAAAGAAATACATTGTGGGAGAATGGCTCAAATTCCAAATGACGAACGATAAGCCCATAATGGATCAAGTACATGACTACGAGAATCTGGTGGTCAACATCATTACTGAAGGAATGCAATTGTGTGAAGTACTCCTCCAAGCTAATGTCCTCATTGAAAAGCTGCCCATGTCATGGTCTGAGTTTCTCCATTCTCTCAAGCATAAGAAGAGAGATATTTCACTTGAGGAACTGATGGGCCACATGAAAATCGAGGAGGCCAACCACCTAAAGGATAAAGTTACGAGTTCCTTTCCTTTAGTCACATGTTTTTAAATCTAATTTAGTTGAATTTGGTGGTGCATTAGGGCCTAAGTTTAAAAAGGCCATCAAACGAGGAAATCTGAACTAAAAGATGAAATCTCTTAAGGGCACAAATTTTTTAAAAAAAAGGAAATGCCATAGCTGATGTAAAGATGTTCAAGTGTTATATTTGTGGTCTACCCGGTCACAAAGCTTATCAATGCCAACACTGCTCAGACCGCCAGAAAGAAAACAAGCCACATATGCATGTTACAGAGAATGATGATGACATCATTGTTGTGGTGGTTTCCGAAGTCAACCTGGTGGAGAATAGTTATGAATGGTTGGTTGATACTGGCGCTACCAAACACTTTTGTGCAAGGACATATTTTTTCACCAAGTTCGAGGATAGGAACGAGTGTACATGAGGAACTCCAGCAGTTCTGAAGTGCTAGACAAAGGCAAGGTTTTACTCAAATTGGCTTTC